TGCGGCGCCCCTGTACTGGGCTATATCACGACGCAGCTCGGATGAGCTTGGTCTGTTGTATTCGGCCGGGCCGTACTTATTATGTCCGGCGTGACGGTTAGCGTCACGTGAAGCGGGGCACCTATGCAATCTGTAGATCGATCTTGTTTGCCTTGCCTTATTCTCCAAGATGTCTCGCAGGTCTGTTGCGTCTCCCCGTACTCTGGTATGTTTTGAGCGGTGCCGGGGTGCGTCTTGGGTCGAGGGCCCGAATGCCTCTCTATCGTGGCCACGGGGTGGCCGATCGGGCGCATCGTACGCTGGTGATGTAGGTTTAGTTGCTTCCTCCTCAAGTTGGGGTAGCAGCCTGCGCTTTGGGTAGCTCTTGGAGTTGGAGGGGCGTTCTAGTTTAAACTCTTCGGCCGCCAGGACTTCGGTCCATCTGTCGGCTAGCAAGTCTTGGTCAGCTCTAAGCTGCTGCTGTTTCTTCTTGAGGCTGCTTGCCGTGGCCACAAGCCTGCATTTGAAACGCTCTTGTTCGAAGGGATCCTCTGGCACGACGAATTCGTCGTCTACGAGGCTTGCCTCATCTTCGGAGGGAGGCATATAATTGTCGTCCTCAACCTTTCTGTCGGCCGCTCTCTCATGAGGGCTAGCTCCTTCGTCCTCCTGCACTGAATCCTGCTGGAGGGGGTTGTCTTCGGCACTGTCCGGCATGTTGTTATCTCCGGTGCCGGAATCGCCGTTTTTGCTTTGGCGGGACTTAGAGCGGCGCCGCTGATGTCGGCGCTTGAGTTGCTTCTTGGAGGGATCATCCTCCGTTTTTTCCTCGCCATCCCCCGCTTTAGGGGTGTCCACCATGTATATGTCATATGATGAGGTGGCTTTCCAGTTCCCTATAGGTGCTGGTTCTTGATCGTCTCCTTCATCGGCGTCCATGTCATCGATGTCTTCGGAGTCAAAGTCGAGCATGTCGGTTAAATCGTCGACAGTGGCTACGAAGTGGGTGGTGGGTGGGCTTCGAATTTCTTCGTCGTCCGCATCCCAACCGTGTTGGCCGTAGTTCGGCCAGGGCTCTCCTGACAAAGAGAGAGACTTTAATGAATTCAGGATATCGCCAAAAGGCGAGTGCTGAAAGACGTCCACGGCGGTGAACTCCATGACCGGAGCCCAATCGGGCTTAATCAGAAGAGGTGCGGGATTTACGGAGTCCGGAGCGGAGTCCGACACCTTAGAGTCACGGGCCTTGCGAAGGACTAGGCTGGTATCCGGCTCTATCACCCTAGAGGTTGCAGCTTCCGGGGCGGCGTCCAACCGTCCATCCCCGACTAGCACAGTGGGATCCGAGCTAATGGTCGGAGCGGACACCTGAGCGACGCTCTGGGCGTTGTCCGACGGCATAGCTAAATCATGCCCATCGTGACAGTGCGGCGCGCCCGGTTGCGGCTCGAATCCGTCGAAGATCAAGTCCCCGCGGATGTCGGCCGTGTAGTTTAAGCTTCCAAACCTGACCTGATGGCAAGGGGCGTAGCTTTCGATCTTCTCCAGATGGCCAAACGAGTTGGCCCGCAGTGCGAAGCCGCCGAATACGAAGATCTGTCCAGGGAGAAAAGTCTCATCCCGGACCGCATCGCGATTGACGAGCGAAGAAGCCATCGGGCCTAAAGGCGACGACACAGAGGAACTCTCAATGAAAGCACCAATGTCGGTGTCAAAACCGGCGGATCTCGGGTAGGGGGTCCCGAACTGTGCGTCTAGGCGGATGGTAACAGGAGACAAGGGACACGATGTTTTTACCCAGGTTCGGGCCCTCTCGATGGAGGTAAAACCCTACTCCTGCTTGATTAATATTGATGATATGGGTAGTACAAGAGTAGATCTACCATGAGATCGGAGTGGCTAAACCCTAGAAGCTAGCCTATGGTATGATTGTTGTTCGTCCTATGGACTAAAACTCTCCGATTTATATAGACACCGGAGAGGGCTAGGGTTACACAGAGTCGGTTACAATGGGAGGAGATCTTCATATCGTATCACCAAGCTTGCCTTCCACGCCAAGGAAAGTCCCATACGGACACGGGATGGAGTCTTCAATCTTCTATCTTCATAGTCCGGGAGTCCGGCCAAAGGTCTTAGTCTGGCCATCCGGACACCCCCTAATCCGGGACTCTCTCACTCATATTCAAGAGCTGCTTCTCAAGCAGACGGATAACGCAAGAGCTGCCGCCCGAGAGAAAGCCAAGCTGGATCAACTGGAGATAGACGCGGTTACTTGATTGTATGAAGGATGCAGGCCCGAGGATACCCGCCTGAAAGTAACGCTCATGGCTCTGGAGATGAAGGTAAAACACAAAATGACCGACGCATGCTTCGACGAGAACATGTCATTATGGCACAAACATCTTCCCAAGGGGAACAAGTGCCCGACCAGTTTCAGGGAGGCGAAGAAAATCATGTGTCCTCTGGATTTACCGCACGTGAAATACCATGTGTGCATGAACAATTGCATCATTTATCGGGACGAGCACGCGGAGTCTACCATATGTCCGGTGTGCGGCGTCACTCGATACAAGAAGAGGAATAAAACTCCTCGAAAAGTGGTGTGGTACTTCCCGATCACTCCTTGTCTGCAGCGGTATTTCGCGGACCCTAAGGTAGCAAAGATCCTGCGTTGGCATGCGGATAGGGAGGAGAAGAAGCGAGAAGATGACACAAATGATCCAGAGATAAATAAAAAAGACAAGATGTTGAGTCACCCTAAGGGTGGGAGCCAGTGGCAAGCGTTGAACTTCGAATACCCAGAATTTGGGAAGGATCCAAGGAACATCGTGCTGGGCACGAGCACCGATGGAGTCAATCCATTTGGCAGCCAGAGAAGCACACATAGCACCTGGCCTGTGTTTGTGTGGATGTACAACCTTCCCCCCTGGTTGTGCATGAAGAGGAAGTACATTCACATGAGTATGCTAATTGAAGGGCCGAAACAACCAGGGAACGATATCAATCTGTATCTGGGGCTGCTGAAAGAGGAGCTAGATACGCTGTGGAAAACGCCAGCCAATACGTGGGATGCCGCAGAGAAAGAATATTTCCCTATGAGAGCCGCACTGCTCACGACGGTGCACGACTATCTCGGTTACGGATATGTCGCGGGGCAGGTGGTCCACGGATTTTCTAGATGCATCAGGTGCATGGATGCCACAACGTATCGCCAGCTATATAGAGATCCTGGGTCTTTGAAAACCGTGTTCATGGGACATCGAAGGTGGCTTCGTGATAATGACTCATGAAGGAAACGCAAGGATCTGTTCAATGGTGAAACCGAACCCCGAAGACGCCCACGTACGAGGAGCGCCGAGGAAATAGACGAGCTGTTGAAAAATTGGAAAGATTGGCCACTGTCGGGAAAGAAGCAAAAGGCGCCAGAGCCGGGAAAGAAGCAAAAGGCGCCAGAGCCGCTACTGAAGGTATGGAAAACGAGGTCTGTTTTCTGGGACTTGCCGTACTGGAAGATCCACCGTGTGCCTCACAGCCTTGATGTCATGCATATCACGAAGAACATGTGCGAGAGTCTGCTTGGTACCCTGCTCAACATGCCAGAGAGGACCAAAGATGGGCCGAAAGCAAGGGCAGACTTGAAATCAATGGGCATCAAGGAGGAGCTTCACGCTAATGATGATGATGATGATGATGAGGTGAAGCAGGACACGGAAAGTCGTCGCAAAGGCAAAAAGGCCAAGAAGACCGGAAATGACTTCCCTCTCGCGTGCTTCACTCTAAGTCAGGAGGTGATCGATCAGTTTTTCACCTGCCTCATAGGAGTAAAACATCCTTATGGTTACACGGGGAAGATAAGCAGATACCTAGACTCGGCGAAGCAGAAGTTCAACGGGATGAAGTCTCACGACTGTCACATGCTGATGACGCAGATACTTCCAGTTGCAATCCGTGGGATCAGAGGCTCGAGGTCCGAGGTAATTCCAACCTCGCGATATACCAGATTAATGGTGATTTCGATGCTAAGAACCCAAGGTGTTAGCATAATGGGAGGCAATGAAACAGTCAGCAGATGTTTCGTCAGTTCAGTGGAAGGCAATCAAGTCCAATATCTTGATTGCAGTTCTTCATAGGTCCAGCTCCACAAGATTTGGTAGTCCATGACCATATTCTTTCACTAGCCGATGTCGATAGCGAGATGCATGTGATGAATTTGTTAATCTTATAATACTCGTCTACTGAATGAGGTACTCTCGTAAGGATAGGATGTGTGTGCTTAATGTTTCTCAAAATAAAACATGGATAGTTATTTTATTGACAATTCCGCGAATAACGAGATAGCTCTAGTGAGCGGTGACACGGTCAATCAATCTCTACCAACTCCGTGGTCTGGGTAATATATCGGCGCACCGAACTACCCCATAGTCGCCAACAATTACCGCGATCCGCCACGTGCTGGCAGGCAGTCAAGTAACCGTGGTTCCGGTGGTTGGCGCGAGAGCCAAAGGCACTCACTCATTCCATCGCCTCTTCTCTCCGCCCACCCAAGGTTCAGCAGGAGGGAGCCAAGTGTCCTTCCGCGCCGCGCCGCCCCGCGTCCACAGGTCTCTCCGCTTCTCGTCATCCCCGCTGAGATTCTCTCCCCCTCTTCCCTTGCCCATCGGCAGCTCCTAGGCTAGCACTGTTGAGTGAGTTCCAGCAGCATCCGGGGTCGAGCTCCACACATTCTCGCAGAATGCGCGGCCACTCGACGACACCCGCCACTCACGATGTTTTTCTGTTGATCTAGGATCGGCGAACGTCCCGAGGTTCCCGTTGGCCAGGCCCAGGATCTCAGGCTCGCCCGTCGACTCGCTCAAGGTAAGCCCCCCCTCCGATCCGGTTTCGTTGGATTGGAGACGGGATACCCCCAAATGCGGAGATTTATCTAATCATACTCAACGGGTTGTCATTTCTCTTGTCCCAGTACAAATCTTGCAGCTGATGGTTTTTCTTTGACTGTGCAATGCATGTCCAGTGGAAAGATGGGGTGCGAAAGATGCGAGCGGAGGGATGAACTCGACTACTGCAATCTGGATGACCGGGAAAAATACTTCCTGATGTTTATTGTCGATGACTGTGGTCAGGAGATGGTAAATCACATTCAACCATACTACTTCAGATTCTTGTACCCCCTTCGTCCCAAAATAAGTGTATCAACTTTGTGCTAACTTAACTTTATGGTTTATCAGATTTTTCCGTCACATTCTATTGTACGATGACAACTAGGTGGATTACTTGCTTGATGTAGCACAGGCACCCACCTCTGTTTTTAGTCCTAGACTCCTAGCCACCCATCGGTCAAGGGTAAATTTGACCATACATGCTTACTACATATGGTTAGTTATTAGCTGACTAAAAAAAGGAAGACTTTCGTGCAAAGAGAAAAGGAACATTTTGATTTGTATTTAATTGTTCCTTTCCAATTAATAATTTCTCAGTTTCACCTATATTAACACTGAAGAGATAAATTTCCTCTACCTCTTCGTATGACATGGATACAGTTTGCAAGAATTATACCTACATGCATGTTCTTCTAGAGCATTTAAATAACAAAATGTACTTTTGTGCTCCAAATTAGCCCATATTAACAATAGATCGGAAGGTGAATACTTTCCTTATTTATTATGATATTTTCTCAACCGTTTTACTTCCACCTCATTCATCGATTGTTCAGCTTTTATTTTGATTGTGCAAGTTCTACACCTTTTATCGCATTTCAATAATTTCAAGAATAAAAAATTCAGACTTGTACATGTGGAATACTCTGTGCACTTGCAAAAACTTTATGTAATGATATGCATGAGAACTATTCTGGTCGAAAACATATGCGTGAGAAACTAATGGCTTATAGTAAAGTTGGCGTGCCCTTAGAATCTACGAGATAATGATGATCTCTATGATTGGATAATGAAAAACTAATGGCTCACTGTAAAAGTGGTGCCAATGCAGTTTCTCATGGGAATAAGTTTGATATGCTCTGTACACTACTGCATATGCCAGTGTAAACTAAGATGTGAATTGTATCCAAGTGATGCATGTTCTTGAAAAAAAATCCAAGTGATGCAATACTTCAGAAATTTGGATATATATTCTGCTCATGTTTGTTCTTGTAAAAGTTAATTTCAGTTTTAGCATTGAAAGATCTTCATAACTGAGATTTAACCTAGGGGTGAGAGTACAGATTGAGTATCGGTTGTGTTACCATGCGATCTTTCTATGTTATTGATTGTATTCTTTGTTTGATCAATTACCTTGGAAGCTGAAACTCCATATAGTACTGTACTATTGTAGGGATATGAACATACTGTGAAAGTATGCATTACCTCTGCAACATTTTTTCAGGAACCAAAATGATTAGCGTGATAGAATAAACACTAAATGCCCGGAGAGTGAAGGTAGAGAATTAAGCTAGCACCTTTTCTGTCGTCATGTTCTCAAGAGAGATATCTATTATCTTATTTACGCCATACTTGCTCGTTGACTCGTTGTTTACTGACCTCACAAGAACCATGCTCTTAAAGTTTGAACTGTATTATTAATCCTGATTCTTTCTGCAGATCGTCCCAGATGAATTTCTGAGACGTTTCAGGGGTGAGATCCCAAGGGAGATCAAGCTAGAAACACGAAATGGTCACAGTTACACCATTGGAGTTGCCAAGTATCCAGATAAACTAGTTCTTCAAGCGGGATGGGGGCTATTCGTCAAAACCTATGATCTACGTATGGACGACTGTGTGGTATTCAGATACAAAGGAAACTCTCAGTTTGGTGTCATAGTTTTTGATCGATTTGGCCGCGAGAAAGCATTTTCTGTTATTACAGACAATGCTCCTCCTGTACAGGAAAGTCACAACAGGGGCACTGAAAATGTGGACCGTTCTCATGGTCATTCTCAGCCCATGGAAGTGCAATCGCCTATTGCAACTGCCAACCATTCTGACGGGCGTCCTCAGCCCATGCGAATGCAACCACCTACTGAAAATGCAAACCCTTCTCATGCGCATCCTCAGCCCATGCGAATGCAACCACCTACTGAAAATTTGGATGACCCTGTTGGTTTTAGTCGGCCCATGGAAATGCAGCCGCCTACTGAAAATGTGGACCATTTGTTTGGCCATAGTCAGCCTATGCAAATGCAACCATCTACTGAGGCTGTGGATCATTTTGCGCAAATGCAACCATCTACCGAGGCTGTGGATCATTCTAATGGTCATGCTCAGACCATGCGAATGCAACCATCTAGCGAGGTCGTGGATCATTCTAATGATCATGCTCAGACCATGCAAATGCAACTGTTTTGTAGACCTACCAAGCTGAGACAAACAAAGCTTCAATGGGATTACTCGAGCAAGGGCAACAAGACAGCAACGAGTCCTTCAGATACTCCCAGTGAGTTATTTCTTGCAATTTTTTATTATAGAGATACAATTCCATTCCAATCAAACTTGATGTTTCCATATTTTATTGACATATTGATTAGTTATTTTCATTTTGTGCATAGGAGATTCTTTGTCCTCAGAACATGATATTGAAGGTTGTGCTTCACCTAGATACACGCTCACATATAACAGCAGTCTAAATACAGTGCAGAAGGAGGAAATTGAAGAGAAGGTCAAATCTATTCATAAGGACAATCCAATCTTTGTGGCTGTGATGAGGAGGTTCAATGTTACAGGAACCTGCACTTTAGTGAGTGTTGAATTTTTACTGTTGAAGGAGCATTCTTCTAGAACTGCGCATCAAGCTTATTAAACCATAGTTTTCTGTTGAAAGTACTGTTTTGAATGCTTTCACTCATTAACCCTTCCATGACTAAACTTGCAGATCCTATACTTCCTAGTATTTTGCACTTTACTTGAATGCCATTATCTAATTATCTTCCCCCAATTATGTCACTAGACTTTCTCCAAGAAATATGTTCAGACGCATGTGGGTGATAAGGAGCGAAGGGTATGTCTTCAGCGATTTGGGAAGAGGTGGGATGTGCAATTTAGCAGTAGCCGTGAAGTCAAAAGGATTGTTAGTGGCTGGCGGAAGTTTGTGAAAGACAATGATGTAGAGACCGGTGATATCTGCATCTTTGAATTGTTGAAGATTGATGAGATGTGCACAATGGAAGTCCATATCATCCATGCGAAGGATTTTGATAGACCCTCCCAAATTGGTGGGTGGAGTGTCGAAGGACGGTGTAAAGAAGCTACTACTAAAACTGTGGAACCTTCTCATTCTCGTCCTCAGCTCGTGCAAATGCAATTATGTAATGCAAGTGTAGAGGATTCTTATTCTCTTCCTCAGCCCATGGAAATGCAATCACCCTCAACGGAAAGAAAGATACGAGTTGAAACGGTTAACTCGAGTCCGGGCAACGAGGGTACGACGAGTTCTTCCTTCTCTGATTCATGCAGTTCATGTTACTAGAGACACAGTCGTTCCTTCCAAATCATATGTGGCATCGTCATCTTCCACAGCTATATTGAATAGTTGTTTTGTTCTTTTCTTCGTGCAGGAGATTCTTCGATGTCAGAGGATGGTGTCACTTTGACTGGTTGCATCGGTGTGCATTTGAGGCGCATACCTTTAGTTCAGAAGAAGGTAGTGAAGCAGAAGGTCGACCTTATTGGTTCTGAAATTCCCATCTATGTGCTCGTGATGCAGAAGACCAATGTTACAGGAAGATTCACTCTGGTGAGATCCATATTTTCTCATATAATTTCCTTCGAAGCAAATATTTTATTCTTCTGTGCATAATCTGCTAGTGCTACGGTGCATTTGTTATGTTATTTTTTTCCGAGAACTTGGAAGTTTTTTGTTTTCTTTAGAGAACTAGGTAGTGCATTTGTTATGTGGGGTGATCGCAATACCATCGCAGGCCCTTGGCCCAAGCCCACCAGAAGAGGTGCCGCTAGTGCTACTTAGGAGCAGGCAGGCCCTTGGCCCAAGCCCAGAAGAGGTGCCGCTAGTGCTACTTAGGAGCAGGCGGCAGTCTCTGCCTAGTTGTGTAACCATGTTAGGTTTGCTATTTCCTTTTAGAGATTAGATTAGATATATTTCCATTTTGTTAGGTTTCATCTAATAAGAGTCTTGTACATTTCCTCTAAAAAGAGTCTTGTAAATAGCTATATGATGCCACCGCCAGACCCTAATTCATTAGTATCAATCAAGCAACAATGTATAGATCGATCCAATGTTCATACCAACATATGCCTTGTTGAACTTTTGCTCACAGATAAAAACACTATTGTGAATGCTGTAGATTCATAACCTGTAGTTGATTATTTCACTTCCTTTTTCCTTTGACAACTTGACTAGGAGTAATAATTTTCACTTTCCTGATTTGCTTGAATGCCATCATCTGACATTCTTCTTTTCCCTGTCTGTAACCAACCAGAGCATCTCCAAGAAATATGTTCGCAGACATCTGGGGGACGAGGTGCGAAGCATCTGGCTGGAGCGAGATGGGGAGAGGTGTCAAGTGACGCTGGGACGCAAGCCTCAGAACAACAGGGTTGTGGGTGGATGGATAAAATTTGCCAAGGAGAACGGGCTGCGGGTGGGCGATGTCTGCCTCCTCGAGCGGCTGAGGCACTGCAAGGAGTGCACGATGAAGGTCCACATCGTCCGCCGCGTAAAGCGTGCCGGTTGATCAACGGGAGTGTTCATCTGTTTCCACCGATCCTTTGCATCGTCGTTAAGACTTTAACAAGGTGTTGTTTACTCAGTTTAGTCAGTTCGTTGGAGGTCCTTGTTGGTTTGTTAGGGGTCGCATAATGGCGCAGGTGTTTGCTTGAACAGACTTCCGTGGTTTGAACCAGTAACGCCGGCGAGTCGCGGTGATGAATTTCAGTTGAGTGGACCTAGTTTGTGGAACAGCAGATGTGCAGGTTTGTTCAAGTCGTTGATAACGAGGTCGCATATGTGTGTGTGGGCTGCGTTTTGGATCTTCAACGCTGGCCGGCCCCTTCCGTTTGTTATTTTCTTTTATTTATTACCTTTTCATTTTGGCTGGGATGAGATTCCTCTTTTGTATTTTCCTTGGTATCTTCAGTTTAAATTTTCTTTGCATAGTTTACACCAACGAGCTGCAGGTTGAGTGTAGGTGTTTCCTGGTAAAAGCTTGGAAGAATTGAGAGAACTACAGGTTGAGTGTAGGTGTAGGTTGCTCTGAGCGGCATGTGCTTCGTGGGGCTGGCTTGCTCGCATCAGGCTGGGTCCGGCTGACGGTGTCATCCGCCTTTTACAGGCTTCTTCCAAACTTTCTAAACACCCCCCTCCCTGATTTCAATGGGGCTGGGCCCGTGCCTCTACTAATAACCAATTAAAGACTGCCACAACACCCTGTAATCCCCTCACCCCTGTAGCACCCTGTACGTGTAGCAAAGCTCCTTGCCCGGCTGTGCGTCGGGTCGGGTGAGGCAGCTGGTTGGCCTCTCAGTCGCATGCGTCTGTTCGGTTCCCGTGCCCGGATGTGCCCAGGTGTGCCGGCCTCCCTCCATGCGCGCCGCCTTGCACGTTTGAGAGGCGTTTGCCAGGGCTCTTTGCCCACCCGCGCACGAGGAGCTTACATGGCGCCGGCTCGGTTTGTGACCGTTGGGGCTGCCGTCGGGTGGGCCCTTGGGGTGTGGTCTGTCGGTTTTCTGGTGTATTTTTTTTTGAAAAGGAGAAATACCCTTGGCCTCTGCATCAATCGATGCATGCAGCCATATTATTAAATAAAAACATAACAAGGTTATAAGGTCCGAAGATGCTCATAAACTGAGCAGTAGTCGTAAGTAAATAAATCTGAAAACGCCACATCGGGTGATATAGAACTGAAAAAGTGCCACATCCGGTGATATAAAAAAAGCTAAGATGCCTATACACCTAGCCTATTATTAGCTCGCTATTCAAATCGGCCGAAAATAGCCCATGCTACAGTCTTCCAACGGTTGCACCCAATAACCAATAGCTCTCTGAACCCCAGTAAGAAACATATACGGATCCAAGTTGTAGCTCTGTAGATAGCATGCAAAAAATTGGTGAATTGTATCCCATTAAAATCATATCATTTCTAGTGTTCCATATAGTCCAAAATAATGCACATACTCCTATCTGAATATGTTTAGCTAAGTATACGTCCACTCCATTAAGCCACGTCGCAAATAACGTGTTTATGCTCCTTGGAGGTTGAATGTTATAGGCTATATGAATTGATTGTCATAATAATTGTGCAAGAGGATATTCGAGAAAGAGGTGTTTAATCGTTTCATTTTGATCACACAAACAACACCTAGAGTTACCAACCCAATTCCCTTTTGCCAAGTTATCTTTGGTTAGAATAACCTCTTTATGGACAAACCACATAAATATTTTAATACAAAGCAAAACTTTAATCTTCCAAATGTGCAATGACCTCGACAATGGCCCAGAGTCAATTAGTTCAGAATACATGGATTTCACTGAGAAGATTCCATTCGTGGTTAACTCCCAGCGAATTGTATCCGCCTGATCAGATAGGTGGACCCCCATCAATCTATGAACCAGGTGCAACCAAGCATTCCAACGTTCCCCTACTAGGGATCTCCTAAATTGGATATTAAGTGGTATCGAATTTAATACTGTGGCAACATAATCCTCCTTACGTTGCACAATACTATATAAGCATGAATATTGCAAAGCCAAAGGCATCTCCCCTAACCATGTATCCTCCCAAAATCGAGTAGTATTACCATTACCAATTAGGAATTTCACTCGTTGGAAGAAAGTTGCTTTCGTCCTCATTAATCCCTTCCAGAATGGTGAGTCCGTTGGCCTAGCGATGACTTGGGACAAAGTCTTAAGAGTGTAAATATTTATTCCGCAAGATTTGTATCCACATACCCTTAGTCTCAGTAGATATTTTGTATAGCCACTTGCTAAGCAGACATCTATTTTTGACCTCTAAATTTTCGATCCCTAACCCGCCCAGGTCTTTTGGTCTACAAATAATATCCCATCTAGCCAATCTATACTTCTTCTTGGCCTCATCACTTCGCCAAAAGAATCGGGATGTATAAAAGTCAAGTCTTTTCCGTACCCCTACCGGTACCTCAAAGAAGAACATCGGCAGGCTCGTCAAAATTGAATTTATCAAAACCAACCAACCTCCGTATGACATGAGCTTGCCATTCTAGCAGCTCAGTTTCTTTTCAAATCGATCTTCTATACATTTCCATTCCTTGTTCATTAAACATCTATAATGAATTGGGATCCCTAGATTACTAAAAGGTAAGGATCCCATTTCACAACCGAATAAATTTCTATAATCACGTTGTTCCTCTTTGGCTCTCCCAAAACAGAACAATTCGCTTTTATTGAAGTTGATTTTGAGCCCAGATAGTTGCTCAAAAAGACAGAATACAAGCTTCATATTCCTAGCTCTTGCACGATTATGTTCCACGAACATAATAGTGTCATTTGTGTATTGTAGGAAGGAGACTCCCCCCCTCTACAAGGTGGGGGACGAGTCTTCCTACTTGGCCACTCTCTTTGGCCCGGCCAATTAGGATTGCCAACATGTCCGCTACAATGTTAAACAGCATTGGAGACATGAAATCTCCCTGTTGTAACCCCTTACGTGTCTGAAAGTTTTTTCATGTATCGTCATTGACTTTTATTCTGACACTACCTTTCTGTATGAATGAATCCACCTGAGATCTCCAAGACTCATTGAACCCCTTCATACGTAAGGCTTGCTGCAAAAAGGATCATTTGACCTTATCATATGCTTTTTCAAAATCCACTTTGAAGATAACACCATCTAATTTCTTTGTATGGATTTCATGCAGTGTTTCACGTAAGACCACAACCCCTTCATGGATGTGTCGTCCTGGCATGAAAGCGGTTTGTGTTGGTTGCACAACCGAATGGGCTATCTGTGTCAACCTGTTCGTGCAAACCTTTGTAAAAATCTTAAAGCTTACATTGAGAAGACATATCGATCTGAATTGCTCAATGCGAATAGCCTCAACCCTCTTTGGCAACAATGTTATTGTTCCAAAATTGAGTTGAAAGAGGTTTAAGTGGCCATCAAACAAATCAAGAAACATAGGCATAAGATCTCCCTTTATGATATGCCAACATTTTTGATAAAATTCCACCGGGAACCCATCCGGCCCAGGGGCTTTATTATGCTTCATTTGCGTTATTGCATCAAACACCTCTTTCTTAGTGAACAGAGCAGACAACAACTCATTCTCTTCTAAGTTAAGCTGAGGTATGTCCCCGATCGAACTCTCATCTAGAGCTACAAAACTTTCTTCTAGTGCTCCAAAAAGCTTCTTATAATATCCAGAGATGTACAATTTTAGGTTCTCGTATCCTACAATTGTACCCACATCTTGTTCGAGCTATATTATCTATGTTTCCCATTAGCTATCATATGAAAAAAATTGTGTATTATCATCTCCTTGGACAATCTTAGACCCATTTGCTCTAAGCGCCCATTTCATTCCTCCTCTCTCATAAGGGCTTATAACTTCTTCTCGGCCTCATTCTTAATATCTCGCTCCGACATATTAAGAAGGGTGGATTCCGCTTTCACACCAAGTTCATTAATAATTTGTTTTAACCTCTCCTTTTCAACTTTGTAAATACCACTTTGGTTTTTGGCGCATCCCCTCAAGAATTGGCGCTAATGTCTAATTTTGTTTTTCCATATTTCCACATGAGAAGTCACACCAGACTCCCTGGCCCATTCTGTGGCAATAAGATTTAGGAAGTCCTCCCTCTCGAACTATCCTAGTTCGAAAGAGAACATATTTCTGTTACCCACATGGGCCGATTCCTCGGAATCAACCAGCAATGGGGAATGGTCCGAAATGGCCCTCTGTAGAGCACGAACCGTTACCAGTGAAAATTTCTGTTCCCACTCAACACTAGTAAGGACCATGTCCAATTTCTCATAGGTAGGAATTGGTAAGGAATTAGCCCACGTGAATTGTCTACCAGAGAGTTCAAGCTCCCTCAAGTCGAGACTCTCAATGATCATATTGAACATGAATGACCACCTTCTATTGAAATTTTCATTATTTTTCTCATCTTGTCTTCTAATGATGTTGAAATCTCCTCCAACCATAATGGGCAGCCTTTCATCCCCACAAATTCTCACTAAATCAGCAAGGAAGTCAGGCTTAGGTTCTGGCTGCGCCGCACCATATACGTCCACCAAAGCCCATCTGAAGCCATCAATTTTCGATCTCACTCAAAATTTGACAGCAAATTCACCGTGAAGCACATTTAGCACTTCTAAAGTTTCACACTTCACCCCAAGTAGGATCCCTCCGGATCGCCCCCTTGGAGGAAGACAGTGCCAATCAAAATCAACCCCCCTGCAATGGTGTTGAGATAACCCGAGCTTAGTAAGCCCACACATAGTAAGGTGCCCGGGATTATACACCAGAAAACCTTACTAAGCCTACACATAGGGATCCTAGCACAGAGCCTGACCTGAGAGCACTCACAGCCACCACACCAGTTTCTCTCTCTAGGCATCAGCCAGCCCCATGCCCCCACACCACCACCATCACACGTGCCGACGTCGCCTCAGCTGAGCGCAACCTCTGGCCGGACGCCACCCACGCCCCCAAGGCGTTCCGCTCACTGCCCCTGACGGAATGGCCTGATCTGCCGCCCAGCACCTCCAGACTCTAGCTGCTCCAGGCTCCATTGCTCAGCGAACTCCTCCACTATCCCTGTCGCCTAGAGCAGAAAATAGACCACACCCTCGCTGCTGATGCCTTGACATATCGCTCTAGCTGCCTTTAGTGGCGGAGCTTCATGAGGGCCAAAGGGGACCATTGCCCCCTACTCTAGGAAAACTGTTACGTGTGCATCTAATTATTAGGTTTGAATATCCAAGATTTCTCAAGAGTTATGCATAACTTATCTTCTTTGTCCCCTCAACTATGACTAGCGCACCACCCAGGTGCCTACCTACTGATCTGGATTGATTTTGTTGTCAATTGGTTGAACTGAGCTTAAATTGGTGCATTTTATCATCATTCATATGTAGAAATAGGAGATTGTGTGGGATTGGGAAAGGGTTCTAGTTCCGCGTCGGCGAGTCCGTCGCTAGCTCTCTAGGCAGCTGGTGTGTCCTTGCTGCTGCTCAAGTGTTCTGCTGCGGTTTTTGAGCTTGCAGAGCGTCTGCTTCCTTTCTTTTAGTTTGCTTGTTTGTATGGTGTAAGCTAGCTGTGTTCTAGGCACCTTGTATCTTTCAGCCGTTGGTATTTTCTTTCTGTTTCAGTTTGGTGTTGATGTTAGCTGTAATCCTAGCCGGTTCGTTAATTCAAAGCCAGGTTTGCGTCAAGCCTTCTCTCTAAAAAAAGATTGAGATTGTGGAGGGAGAGTAATGTAGGGTTCAGGAAGAAAATGGAGTATTAATTACAAGGTCGCTCAATAAGATTCAAGATGAGTATCTTACCAATGATTTGTTAGTTAACATAGAGCAATAAATTCAATAAGAAGTGAATGATGCCTACTGAAGTAATATAGGGCTCAAGATTTGAAAATTTGGTGCTAGCTCTTATTTAGAATTGTGCTCTAGACTAGAGGTGTAGTAGGATCTCTGCTATTGCTCTCTCTTCCTGACACGACTACTTACCACTGATATTTGGTTGTTTTGGGGTTTCTCACAATGGATTTCCGGCGGCTGGAGGTCGTCATCTTGGCTATCATGTTGCTGCTTGCCGTTCAGGGGCCGTCTGCTATTGCGGCCGACACCCCCACTGTCCTGAAGCTGGAGCGGCACAACACAATGCCCAGTGGAGTTGTCGAGCTCCCTGTGAATGGTACGGGACAATACATGTTCCACGCGTAAGTTTTCTGACTCCTCCTTTGTTTTCAAATTAATCCAGGACGTGCATAAGGCTAGAAGCCTTGCATCACAAGTACCTATAGTCCCTGTGGTTTCCATTTCCCCGAGAGATTCAAACGACCAACATAGCGAAATTTGGAAGCAACGTAAGCTGATCATGGCAAGATCTCATTGGTCCACTAATTGAAGGTAGACTTACATTATGTCGACATAAGAATTCTCATTGCCATGTTATAACATTGTGCTTGTAAGAATTGCCAGCTTTATTACGCACATGCAAGAAAGTCGCGTCGTAATAAGGCTTAATGTTCCTACAAAGTCATGCCACGACCTATCTGCATCTCTGAATTGTTGAAGATTGATGAGATGTGCACAATGAAAGTCCATATCATCCATGCAAAGGATTCTGATAGACCTGCCCAAATTGGTGGGCGGGGTGTCGAAGGACGGTGTAAAGAAGCTACTACTAAAATTGTGGAACCTTCTCGTTCTCGTCCTCAGCTCGTGAAAATGCAATTACGTAATGCAAGTGTAGAGGATTCTTATTCTAGTCCTCAGCCCATGGAAATGCAATCACCCTCAACGGAAAGACATATACGAGTTGAAACGGTTAACTCGAGTCCGGGCAACGAGGGTATGACGAGTTCTTACTTCTCTGGTTCATTTAGTTCATGTTACTAGAGACACGGTCGTTCCTTTCAAATCATATGTGGTATCGTCATCTTCCACAGCTATATTGAATAGTTGTTTTGTTCTTTTCTTCGTGCAGGAGATTCTTCGATGTCAGAGGATAGTGTCACTTTGACTGGTTGCATCGGTGTGCATTTGAGGCGCATACCTTTAATTCAGAAGAAGGTCGTGAAGCAGAAGGTCGACCTTATTGGTTCTGAAATTCCCATCTGTGTGTTCGTGATGCAGAAGACCAATGTTACAGGAAGATGCGCTCTAGTGAGATCCATATTTTCTTATATATTTTCCTTCGAAGCAAATATTTTATTCTTCTGTGCATAATCTGCTAGTGCTACAGTAGTGCATTTCTTATGTTTTTTTAGAACTAGGTAGTGCATTTGTTGCTATGTGAGGGTGATCGCATACCATCACAGGCCACTAGCCCAAAGCCACGAGAGGTGTCGCGCTGAGGCTATTTAGGAGCAGCCTCTGCCTAGTGATGTAACCATGTTAGGTTTGCTATTTCCTTCTGGAGTTTAGATATATATTTTCATTTTGGTAGGTTTCTAAGCCCCCAAGTCGATGCTTTTCATCTAATAAGAGTCTTGCACATAGCTATATGATGCCATCCTAGACCCTAATTCATTATCAACCAAGCAACAATGTACCTCTTACCAGTCTATTCTCCTATCCTGAGAATCGACGCTCCGGGCTGCGGTGGCTACAAACACTATTGTGAATGCTGCAGATTCATAACCTTTAGTTGATTATTTCACTTCCTTTGACAACTTGACTAGGAGTAATAATTTTCACATCCTGATTTGCTTGAACACCATCATCTGACATTCTTCTTTTCCCTGTGTGTAACCAACCAGAGCATCTCCAAGAGATATGTCCGCAGATATCTAGGGGACGAGGTGCGAAGCATCTGGCTGGAGCGAGACGGGGAGAGGTGCCAAGTGACGCTGGGACGCGGGCCTCAGAACAACAGGGTTGTGGGTGGATGGGTAAAGTTCGCCAAGGAGGACGGGCTGCGGACGGGCGATGTCTGCCTCCTCGAGCGGCTGAGGCACTGCAAGGAGTGCACAATGAAGGTCCGCATCATCCGCCGCGTAAAGCGTGCCGGTTGATCAACAGTGTTCATTCTGTTTCCACCGATCCTTTGCATCGTCGTCGTTAAGACTTTAAGAAGGTGTTTGCTGGAACAGAGTTTTGAGATTTGAACCGGTAACGCCGGCGAGTCGCGGTGATGAATTTCAGTTGAGTGGACCTAGTTTGTGGAACAGCAGATGTGCAGGTTTGTTCAAGTCGTTGAGAACGAGCTCGCATGTGTTGTCTGGGTTGTGCTTTGGATCTTCGATGCTGGCCGGCCCCTACCGTTTGTTATTTTATTTTATTTATTACCTTCTCATTTTGCCTGGGATGGGATTCATCGATCCTTTGCATTTTCCTTGGTTTCTTAGTTTTAGTTTCCTTTGCATAGTTTACACAAACGAGCTACAGGTTGAGTGTAGATGTTCCCTGGTAAAAGCTTGGAAGAATTGAGAGAAGGACTACAGGTTGCTCTGAGCGACATTGATGTACATTGATGTCATCAACTCTGTTGTTATTCCTAGTTCCAAACATGTCTGGAAAGTAAAGGTTCCTCTGAAAATCAAAGTGTTTACGTGGTTTGTCCATAAACAAGTCATTCTAACGAAAGATAATTTGATTAAGCGCAACTGGACATGTTCTACTAGGTGTAGTTTCTGTGATCGGGATGAAAATATCAAGCATCTTTTCTTTGATTGCCCGTTGGCGAGGGTGTTATGGCGCTCGGTGCAAATTGCTTTTAACATTACTCCTCCGAATTCGGTCAGGTCGATTTTTGGAACGTGGCTTGCCGGTATAGAGGCCGAAACAGCTAGACAAATTCGTGTAGGAGCATGTGCGTTGTTATGGACAATTTGGAACTGCAGAAATGATTTGGCTTTTAACAGAACAACAACTATTCATTTTTTGCAGGTTGTATTCCGGGCTACTGCGCTAATCTGTATGTGGTCATTACTCACTCCGACGGAGGCCAGGGAACATTTGGTTACTGGATCTGTCCGGTGGGAGATGGTAGCGCGGGATATTTTCAACCGGTTTGGATGGCGGTCATGTAATAGGATAGACGATTAGTTTACCTATCTTTCTTTAGTATGCCAGCCGGTTGTGGCTTCTAGGCCTTGTTTGATTTCGCTAGCTCTTTGTGAGTCAGCCTCCTTTGTTGCAGTACATTGCAAGACTTTGTTGAACCACTTATTTATTTATAAATGTGGCCATATGCACCACTCAGATGCAGAGGCCGGGGAGTCCCCCATTTCTAAAAAAAAGGTTGCTCTGAGCGACATGTGCTTCGTGGGGCTGGCTTGCTCGCGTGTCCGGATGACGGTGTCCTCCGGCCGGCCAGGGCCGGGTTGCGTCGGTAGCGCGAGCCTCGTGCGTGTAGTTTGCCCGGCTGTGCGTCGTGTCGGGTTGCGGCGGCTGGTCGGCCTCTCGTCGCATGCGTCTGTTCGGTTCCCGTGCCCAGCTGCGCCCAGGTGTGCCGGCTTGCGTGTTGGCGTTCACCAGGGCTCTTTGCCCACCCGGCCACGAGGAGCTTACATGGCGCTGGTTCGGTTTGTGACCGTTGGTGCTGCCGTCGGGTGGGCCCTTGGGTGTGGTCTGTCCGTTTTCTAAAAGAAAGAATATCTTCGGCCTCTACATCAATCGATGCGTACAGCCATATTATTGAATAAAAATGTAACAAAGTCATAAGGTTCAGAGATGATCATAAACTAAGCAGTAGTCAAAAGTAAATAAATCTGAAAAGCGCCACACCCGCCAATATAAACATAAGCTATGATGCCTACACACCTAGCCTACTATTAGCTCAGCATCCAAATCGGCCGAAGATAGCATGTGCTACCGTGAACCAACGGTTGCACGTAATAACCAACGGATCCCTAAAGTCTGCATGAGTGAGTAAGGACCACATACGGATCCAAACTGTAGCTAGCCTAAAAAAAATTGGTGAATTGTGTCCCGTTAAAAATCACATCATTTCTATTGTTCCATATAGCCCAAAATAATGCACATACTCTTATCCGAATATGTTTAGCTAAGTGTACGTCCACTCCATTAAGCCGCGTCCCAAATAACGTGTTTATACTCCTTGGAGGTTGAACGTTATAGGCTATATGAATTGATTGTCATAATAATTATGCAAGAGGACATTCGAGAAAGAGGTGTTTAATTGTTTCATTTTGATCACACAAACAACACCTAAAGTTACCAACCCAATTCCTTTTTGCCAAGTTATCTTTGATTAAAATAACCTCTTTATGGACAAACCACATAAATATTTTAATACAAAGCGGAACTTTAATCTTCCAAATGTGCAATGACCTCGACAATGGCCCAGAGTCAATTAGTTCCAAATACATGGATTTCACTGAAAAGATTCCATTCGTGGTTAACTCCTAGCGAATTGTATCCGCCTGATCAGATAGGTGAACCCTCATCAACCTATGAACCTGGTGCAACCAAGCATTCCAACGTTCCCCTACTAGGGATCTCCTAAATTGGATATTAAGTGGTATGGAATTTAATACTATGGCAGCATAATCCTCCTTACATTGCACAATATTATATAAGGATGAATATTGCAAAGCCAAAGACATCTCCCCTAACCATGTATCCTCCCAAAATCGAGTAGTATTAACCAATTAGGAATTTCACTCGTTGGAAGAAAGTTGCTTTCGTCCTCATTAATCCCTTCCAGAATGGTGAGTCCGTTGGCCTAGCGATGACTTGGACAAAGTCTTAAGAGTGTAAGTATTTATTCCCCAAGATTTGTATCCACATATCCTTGGTCTCAGTAGATATTCTGTATAGCCACTTGCTAAGCAGGCATCTATTTTTGACCTCTAAATTTTTGATCCCTGACCCGCCCTGGTCTTTTGGTCTACAAATAATATCCCATCTAGCCAATCTGTACTTTTTCTTGGCCTCATCACTTCGCCAAAAGAATCAGGATCTATAAAAGTCAAGTCTTTTCCGTACCCCTGCCGGTACTTCAAAGAAGAACATCGGCAGGCTCGTCAAAATTGAATTTATCAAAACCAACCAACCTCCGTATGACATGAGCTTGCCATTCTAGCAGCTCAGTTTCTTTTCAAATCGATCTTCTATACATTTCCATTCCTTATTCGTTAAACGTCTATAATGAATTGGGATCCCTAGATAACTAAAAGGTAAGCATCCCATTTCACAACCGAATAAATTTCTATAATCATGTTGTTCCTCTTTGGCTCTCCCAAAACAGAACAATTCGCTTTTATTGAAGTTGATTTTGAGCCCAGACAGTTGCTCAAAAAGACAGAATACAAGCTTCATATTCCTAGCTCTTGCACGATTATGTTCCACGAACATAATAGTGTCATTTGTGTATTGTAGGAAGGAGACTCCCCCCTCTACAAGGTGGGGGACGAGTCTTCCTACTTGGCCACTCTCTTGGGCCCGGCCAATTAGTATTGCCAACATATCCGCTACAATGTTAAACAGCATTGGAGACATGAAATCTCCCTGTTGTAACCCCTTACATGTCTGAAAAAATTGTCCTGTATCGTCGTTGACTTTTATTCTGACACTACCTTTCTATATGAATGAATTCACCTGAGATCTCGAAGACTCATTGAACCCCTTCATACGTAAGGCTTGCTGCAAAAAGGATCATTTGACCTTATCATATGCTTTTTCAAAATCCACTTTGAAGATAACACCATCTAATTTCTTTGTATGGATTTCATGCAGTGTTTCATGTAAGACCACAACCCCTTCATGGATGTGTCGTCATGGCATGAAAGCGGTTTGTGTTGGTTGCACAACCGAATGGGCTATATGTGTCAACCTGTTCGTGCAAACCTTTGTAATAATCTTAAAGCTTACATTGAGAAGACAGATCGATCTGAATTGCTCAATGCGAATAGCCTCAACCCTCTTTGGCAACAATGTTATTGTTCCAAAATTGAGTTGAAAGAGGTTTAAGTGGCCATCGAACAAATCATGAAACATAGGCATAAGATCTCCCTTTATGGTATGCCAGCATTTTTGATAAAATTCCACCGGGAACCCATCCGGCCCAGGGGCTTTATTATGCTTCATTTGCGTTATTGCATCAAACACCTCTTTCTTAGTGAACAGAGCAGACAACAACTCATTCTCTTCTAAGTTAAGTTGAGGTATGTCCCCGATCGAACTCTCATCTAGAGCTACAAAATTTTCTTCTAGTGCTCCAAATAGCTCCTTATAATATCTAGAGATGTACAATTTTAGGTTCTCGTATCCTACAATTGTACCCTCATCTTGTTCGAGCTATATTATCTATGTTTCCCATTAGCTATCATATGAAAAAAATTGTGTATTATCAACTCCTTGGACGATCTTAAACCCATTTGCTCTAAGCGCCCATTTCATTCCTCCTCTCTCATAAGGGTTTGTAACTTCTTCTCGGCCTCATTCTTAATATCTCGCTCCGACATATTAAGAAGGGTGGATTCCGCTTTCACACCAAGTTCATTAATAATTTGTGTTAACCTCTCCTTTTCAACTTTGTAAATACCACTTTGGTTTTTGGCGCATCCCCTCAAGAATTGGCGCAAATGTCTAATTTTGTTTTTCCATATTTCCACATGAGAAGTCACACCAGACTCCCTGGCGCATTCTGTGGCAATAAGATTTAGGAAGTCCTCCCTCTCAAACTATCCTAGTTCGAAAGAGAACTTATTTCTGTTGCCCACATGGGTCGATTCCCCGGAATCAACCAGCAATGGGGAATGGTCCGAAATGGCCCTCTATATAGCACGAACGGTTACTAGTGAAAATTTCTGTTCCCACTCAACACTAGTAAGGACCCTATCCAATTTCTCATAGGTTGGAATTGGTAAGGAATTAGCCCACCTGAATTGTCTAGCAGAGAGTTCAACCTCCCTCAAGTCGAGACTCTCAATGATCATATTGAACATGAATGACCACCTTCTATTGAAATTGTTATTATTTTTCCCATATTGTCTTCTAATGATGTTGAAATCTCCTCCAACCATAATGGGCAACCTTTCATCCCCAC